TCCCTCGGCCAATAAAGCGAGATGAGCGCTGCAACCCCAGAGTCGTCCACGACTAGACCTAATGGTCAGGGGTCCCTTTACCTTTTACCTTTATTCTACGGGTAGGCAAAGTATGGCCCGGGGGCCGGATCCGGCCCAATCGCCTTCTAAATCCAGCCCCACAGACGGTCCAGGAGTCAGCGTATTTTCACATGAGTAGAATGTGTCCTTTTATTTAAAATGCATCTCTGGGTTATTTGTGGGGCATAGTAATTTATTCATCCCCCCCCCAAAAAAAATATAGTCCGGCACCCCACAAGGTCTGAAGGACAGTGTACCGGCCCCATGCTGAAAAAGTTTGCTGACTACTACTACTACTACTATGGACCCCTGTCCATAGTAGTAGTAGTAGTAGTAGTAGTAGTAATGAATTGAAAAAGATGTTTAAAATAACATTTGTAAAAAAAGAAACCCAGAAGCTTTTCTTTTGGGAATTACAGGGACAGAACTACCGAAACTGTATAGGAAACTTATTTGTGTCTGCGACTACAGCGGCAATAACATTACTTGCCCAAAAATGGAAAAGAGGCAGAAATGCCAGGAAAGGAAGAATGGATAGCGAAACTTACTGGAAGAATAAGAAATACAGTGGTACCTTGGGTTAAGTACTTAATTCGTTCCGGAGGTCCGTATTTAACCTGAAACTGTTCTTAACCTGAAGCACCACTTTAGCTAATGGGGCCTCCCGCTGCCGCCGCACCGTTGGAATACAATTTCTGTTCTCATCCTGAAGCAAAGTACTTAACCTGAAGCACTATTTCTGGGTTAGCGGAGTCTGTAACCTGAAGCGTCTGTAACCCGAGGTACCAGTGTAAAACATTAAACATTTTAAAAGCTTCCCAATACACGGCTGCCTTCAGAAGTCTTCTAAAGGTTGTATGTTATATCCTTGTCTCAGGGGGGGTCACATAACTCCGTGCCCTCTGGCGTTTCTCCGATGAAAATAGGGACGTCCCTAAGGAAAAGCGGGACGTTCCGGGATCCATTGAGAAACCGGAATGGCTTTGGGGAATCTGGGACTGTCCCTGGAAAAGAGGGACACCTGGACGGTCCGCTCCCTGTCGCTTTTCCTACCTCACACGGTGGTTGTGAGGGTCAAAGGGGGCAAGGGAGGGAAATGGCGATAGCTGCCTGGTTCCCAGGTGAAATGAGCACGGCAGGAGGAGAACCGGGAAGGAAGCGAGGCCTTGTTTCTCTCCCCGAACGGCTCTCCCTTTGTTCTTGGCACTGCCTGGATGCCTTTGATGCAATCGGGCTTTCGCACATCCTTTATTCCTCCCACACTCCCTCCTTCCTTCGGAGGTTACTGTGCGAAAGGTCGCCGGCAGCCGCAAGCAAAGGAAATCTGAGGTCTCGCCGGCAGGCGCTGGGAGTCGGGGGGTCTCCGAATATGAGCCCTCTCTTTCGGAGAGAGAGAAAGCGAGCCTACACTTGCAATTACAACCACATGGGCCCTCTGGACGCTGCTAAGAATCGCAGCTCCCCGCCTGCGCTGCGAGAGACGGCGCAGTTAGGAACGCAGTGATCTGAATTGCACGGAGGGCATTGGAACGCTTGCCCACTGGGCTCAGTATCACTTGCCAGGGTTTCAGGGAGCGGGGTCTCACACCCTAGCCTGGATACACAAGCAAAGGGATGGAACGGCTCAGAACCGTTCTTTGCGTGCCTCCTCCGCAAGAGGTCTGGAGTGTGGCAATACGAGAACAGGGCCTTCTCTGCGGTGGCTCCCCATTTGCGGGACGCTCTCCCCAAAAGAGGCTCACTTGGCGCCTTCATTGCATATCTTTAGACACCAGGGGAAGCCAGACCTCTTTCCCCGGGCTTTTGGCTAATTCAACAGTCTCTGGCTTTTTAGACTGTGTCAGACGCTCCAAGTTCCCCCGTTTTCCAGGGACAGTCCCAGATTTACAAAAGCTGTTTAGAAACAACAACAAACCACTTCTTCTTTTTTTAAAGAGTTATAGGCAGTGGAGCTGTTGCAGCAAGCGAGTCGTATGGACCCAGGGGTCAGCAAACTTTTTCAGCAGGGGGCCGGTCCACTGTCCCTCAGACCTTGTGGGGGGCCGGACTATATTTTGAAGGAAAAAGATATGAACGAATTCCTATGCCCCACAAATAACCCAGAGGTGCATTTTAAATAAAAGCACACATTCCAGTCATGTAAAAACACACTGATTCCCGGACCGTCCGTGGGCCAGATTGAGAAGGTGATTGGGCTGGTTCTGGCCCCTGGGCCTTAGTTTGCCTACCCATGGACTACTCTGTCAGATTTGGTTTCTCTAAGTCAGGAGTCAGAAAGGTTTTACCTGCCTGGGCCAGTCAAGTCCCACAGAGATCTCTCCATGGGCTGGATTGCATGAATGTGTGATTGTGCGTGTGTGATTAGCAGCATCTGGGCATGCGCAGAGTGATTTTTGGCATCTGGGCATGTGCAGATGCGATGTTCGGCATCTGGGCACATGCAGACGCGATTTTCGTCATCTGGGCATGCACAGACGTGATTTTTGGTGTCTGCGTGCACAGACGCGATTCCCACCGCCGCACTGCGCCGGTTTAGCGCAGTGCACAGAGACTCACCAAGCGGATGGCTCAATCCGGGGGCGGCTCATAGGCAGGTTAAACTGCCCCCGTGGCCCACAGGTTGCTGATCCCTGCTCTAAGTTTTTAAGAGCTTAAGAACCAGGTCAAAGGAAGTCTCATCCCTTCCTGTGGCTTCCAGCGACTGGCAATCTCATTCCACCCCCCGTCTTAAATTTGGTTCTTCAAATCTCCACAAGAGTTTGTCAGCGTAACCACAGACACGAGGACCCAGTGATGCTAAGATGAAGGAAGCAGGGGAAAACCCAAGATGACCAAGCAGTCTTGGGGGCTGCTTTAATTGGAAAAGCTGTCCAGCAAGGTTTCTGGTGAGAAACTTCCCCTGGGTACGGGGAAAAGAAGGGATTTGCTCACAGAATGTTTCCTGGCTTGCTTTTGCTTGAGACAAGTTGCACCAGAAAAGAAACCAGATGCAAATTTGTTGTTGTTTAGTAGTGTCCGACTCTTCGTGACCCCCTGGACCAGAGCACGCCAGGCACTCCTGTCTTCCACTGCCTCCCACAGTTTGGTCAAACTCATGCTGGTAGCTTCGAGAACACTATCCAACCATCTCGTCCTCTGTTGTCCCCTTCTCCTTGTGCTCTCCAGCTTTCCCAACAACAGAGTCTTTTCCAGGGAGTCTTCTCTTCTCCTGAGGTGGCCAAAGTCTTGGAGCCTCAGCTTCAGGATCTGTCCTTCCAGTGAGCACTCAGGGCTGATTTCCTTCAGAATGGAGAGGTTTGATTTTCTTGCAGTCCATGGGACTCTCAAGAGTCTCCTCCAGCACCAGAATTCAAAAGCATCCATTCTTCGGCTATCAGCCTTCTTTATGGTCCAGCTCTCACTTCGATATATCACTATTGGGAAAACCATAGCTTTAACTAGTGGAATGTATAAATTTGAAAATACAAATAAAAAACTAGATGGGCCAAGGGTCTTATCCAGCGGGCTCTTTTTATTCCTAGCTCCAAAGGATGTCCGCTCTTAAGTTTTACGGGGAATGAATCATCTACTTTCACCTGTGGCATCGCGCTCAGGGCATTGTGGGTAACGAAAATGGCAGCTGCCTCCTGTAGCTAACAGGGGGTGACTGGAAACACACACCCCCCCCGGAAAACCAGCTCTGCCTTTCTGCTCCTTACGCAGGCCAGGCCGGACGAAACCTTACAAACCCACAACATTGTTCTCTTCCTTGATGACGTGAAACCCCCCCCCCACTCCAACCCACCTCAATTGGTCACCGCAATCCATTCAAGTTTGTTCTGTCCTGAACTTTTACACACTGACTCCCTCTTCCCCTTGAAGGTCAAGTGTGGGAAGAGGAAAAGAACAGGACAGAACGAGGGAATCAAATTCTACCAGCAGATTGCACCGGATGTTCTTGTTGTTTAGTCATTTAGCCGTGTCCGACTCTTCGTGACCCCCTGGACCAGAGCACGCCAGGCACTCCTGTCTTCCCCTGCATCCCGCAGTTTGGTCAAACTCATGCTGGTAGCTTCAAGAACACTGTCCCACCATCTCGTCCTCCGTTGTCCCCTTCTCCTTGTGCCCTCCATCTTTCCCAACATCAGGGTCTTTTCCAGGGAGTCTTCTCTTCTCACGAGGTGGCCAAAGTCTTGGAGCCTCAGCTTCAGGATCTGTCCTTCCAGTGAGCACTCAGGGCTGATTTCCTTCAGAATGGAGAGGTTTGATCTTCTTGCAGTCCATGGGACTCTCAAGAGTCTCTTCCAGCACCAGAATTCAAAAGCATCCATTCTTCAGCGACCAGCCTTCTTTATGGTCCAGCTCTCACTTCCATATATCTCTACTGGGAAAACCATAGCTTTAACTATACAACCTTTGTTGGCAAGGTGGTGTCTCTGCTTTTTAAGATGCTGTCCAGGTTTGCCATTGCTTTTCTCCCAAGAAACAGGTGTCTTTTAATTTCGTGGCTGCTGTCACCATCTGCAGTGATCATGGAGCCCCCAAAAGTAATATCTCTCACTGCCTCCATTTCTTCCCCTTCTATTTGCCAGGAGGTTCCTGCAGCCAATCAGAAGCCACGCCTTGGTTTCCAAATGTTTTGGAAGTCAAACGGACTTCTGGAACGGATTCCGTTCGACTTCCGAGGTACCACTGTAGTTACTTGGGCAGGCTATTGTTAGGCATCCAAACAACATAACCAGTCCGATGATGTTGATCTTGAATAATAATTGCTTCAAGGCTAAGTAACTCAGCGGCAGAGCAAATACTCTGTGTAGAAAAGACAGGGTCTGCCCAAGACATCATCCCGCTTGAGGCAAAATGGAAGGTGGTACCGCAACATGGGAGCCAACTCAAATCATGGAAACATAGAGCTGTAAGGGGTCTTGAGGATCATCTAGACGAACCCCCTGCTTTGCGGCTGCCCTATACAGGGATTGAACCTGCAACCTTGGGGTTATCAGCCCCACGCTCTAAGCAGATGATGTAAGGGGCCAAGGTCCCTTCACACTCAACCCAATTAAATATTTGAGGGGGCTGCCTCTCCAACATTGATAGACATTGCCATTCAAATGGTGTTTGTGTGTGTGTGTGCCTCGTCTTGTCATCCATTTTGCGGGGTGCAGATTACATGCCCGCCCCCATTTTATTCAAGTTGGCACCCTTGGTTCTAGAATGCCATGGGGTCAGTGCCGGATTAAACCCTGTGGAGGTCCCTAGGCAGTCGGAATCTCAGGGGCCCCACTTGCAATTTATCTCCAAATACGTTTTGGATTTTGACACCCCACAATTTTAACAAACCGATTTCAAGATCAAATCAATATTAGGTTGATACGTTGTCTCCGGGCCCCTCGAAGAAGCCCGCTCTGCCTGTTTGGTAACCCGGCGCTGCTGCGCGTGGGTCGCGGCGACCGAAAGAAACACAAAATCCTCTCCGCGGCGCGGAAAGATAGTTCTGTCCGTTCCTCGGGAAAACAAACTTGCCCAACGTGACAAGTTAGCAGCCATGCGATAACAACGGCTCTGGGAAGCTGCCAGCGCTTCCGGGCCCCACCCTGCGCTCCCGTCTCCCAGGATCCGTCTTTCTGCGAAAGAAAGGAGGAGCGCCGGGACTGGAGGGCGGGGGGGCGCAAGGCGAAGCTGCCGAGGCCATGTGCGCGCGGGCGGCGGGGCGGCGTCTATAAAAGGGGGCGCGTCCGGCGCGGCCTCTCCAAACCGTGCGCTCTTGGCGAGGTGGCGACTGTTGCGCGCTGCGCTCTGACCAAGTTCATTGTCTGCTGGGGCGATGCGTTCGTGGGCGCTGCTGGTGCTGAGCGCGGCGGGGCTGGCCGCCGCCGCTCCTCCTCCTCCTGCTGCCGGTTCTACCAGCAAGGAGCGCGCCTTCAAGGCAGCCTCCTGGGACGAGGTGAACGTCTTGGCGCACGGGCTCCTGCAGCTGGGCCACGGCTTGCGGGAGCACGTCGAGCGCACCCGCGGGCAGCTGCGCGAGATGGGCGGCCGCCTGAGCGCGCACAACGCCTCGCTCGGCAGCCTCGAGCGCTCCGCCGACGAGCAGCGGCAGCATCTGGGGCGAGCGCAGCGCCTCCTCGACGGGCGCCTTGACGACCTCTCCAGTCGGCTCGGCGCGCTGGCCGGCGACCTGGCGGCGCACGAGGAGGCGGTGCGGGAGCGCCTGGGGCGCCTCGACGGGCAGCTGCTGCGCCAGGTGGGCGCCGAGAACGCCAGCGGCAGCCCTCGAGGGAGCGGACAAGCGGCAGAGCTGGGCGCCTTGCAGGTGAGCCAAGGGGTGCTGCCCCAGAGGGAAAGGGAGCGGAGGGAAGAGGCATTCTGAACCCGAAAGGGGCTGGAGCAAAAGCACTCTGCACACGCTCAGAGGTGCCTTTTACCTGGGAGCTATAGAAATAAAAGCCCTTACCTGTTCACAGTCCTTTTCTTCTGGAAAGGAAGGTGCTGAAACTCACCCGTGAAGTTCTTGCAGTAACCGCCACACTTTTAACCAGTGCCTTTCTTCTCAATTAAAAGGTTCCTTTGAGTACCCCCAGTAAAAAAACACTGTCAAAAAGTTACCTGGGGTCGCCCCCCTGAAGGATGGAGGTAGCTGCCCTCTAGGAAATAGAGATTGAGTGGGGAGGAGAGGTAAACCCCGCTTTTGGTCTTGGCTTTCAAATTTTATGAGCTTTATCTAGCCTCCAATGCTTCCTTGACAACTTTCGGGTACAGTACGAATCGATTGTTGAGACTTTTTCTAAGTGGTGCGAAGGGCTGTGAAATGTAAACCGTTTGATTAATAAAATGAATGGGTCATGCAGAGAGAGAACTGGGGTGCCCCATAAATTGGCATAAGTGCCTCTTTGCACAACAGTTTTGTTGGGCGGCTGTGCGGGCACCAGATACAATAGCCCGGAGGGCACCAGGTTAGCAAAGCTTGAGATAGGACGGTATTTCCTTAGGGCAGAGGTTTTCAACCTTTCTGAGTCCGTGGCTCCCTTGGCCAACTGCTTTCTTTCTGCGGCACCCCTGTGGGGCTCAGGAGCCCAGTTATGTGCCCCCCCCTTGCCTGCAGAGCTGGCAGCTTCTCACCCTTTTTCGAACACCCGCCTAAGTTGTGATGTGTTCCTCCAGCCTCCTCTCCTCTCCCTTCTCCTTGGGAGTCCTCTGGTCAGCTGCTGCTGCTGCCTCCCCGGTCTCTGAGCTGCCCCCCCCGCCCCAAAGAGAGGTTCTTCCTCACACTGCCCCACAGGGGCCTGGGAAGCACCCCCTGGCCTGCCCCGGAGGCACCATTTGCCTGCGGAGCTTGTAGCCAGGGCTGCTGCAACACACAGTTGTGCAAGCCTTGGGGAGGCAGAGACATGAGAGGGCATCAGTGGAGGGAGTGAAGGAAAGAAAGAGGGATGGAGGCCAGTGTTGCCCACAGCACCCTAGACCATCATTTAAGGCACCCCAGGGTGTTATGACACACTGGCTGAAAACTACCGCTTTAGGGAACTGGCAAGAGGTTCGAGAGCTGAGAGTCTGTTGCGAAAGAAGGGTGCTATCTATCCTCTGGGTTTTCTCTCCCTTAAGAAAGTTTCCCGTTCATAATGATTTTTTACCTACGCTGGGTTTTCTCTATTAGCATCATTTGGATTAGTAATGCTTATTAATTAATCAATCAGTGCATTAGTGAGTGCACGATAGATCTCTCTTCCCAGCAGCATGCAATATAAAGCTTGATCGAGGAAGAACAAAAACTTGACAGAGGGAGACAGAGAAAACTATATGCAATCGTCAGAGAGACCCGGGAACCTTAAGATCTTAATATGTGGCTAAGGGAGACAAAGGGACGCGGGTGGCGCTGTGGGTTAAACCACAGAGCCTAGGACTTGCCGATCAGAAGGTCAGCGGTTCGAATCCCCGCAATGACGGGGTGAGCTCCCGTTGCTCGGTCCCTGCTCCTGCAAACCTAGCAGTTCGAAAGCACCTCAAAGTGCAAGTAGATAAATAGGTACCGCTCCGGTGGGAAGGTAAACGGCATTTCCATGCGCTGCTCTGGTTCGCCAGAAGCGGCTTTGTCATGCTGGCCACATGACCCGGAAGCTGTACGCCGGCTCCCTCCGCCAGTTAAGCGAGATGAGCGCCGCAACCCCAGAGTCGGTCACAACTGGACCTAATGGTCAGGGGTCCCTTTACCTTTAAGGGGAGACAATGGAGAAAGAGGAGGGAAACTGAGGCACGGGTAAGCCTGGGAGGAATATGCCGTTGTTGCAATCACACATCCTTAGGCTCCACTTCAATAATTTATAAAACACGTAGTAATTTACTTGTTATCCAAGGAATATGAATCTACAGCCCTTATCAAGTTGCTCCGTTTGCAGTTGCAACAAAGAAAATCCGAGTGTGGCTCTTGAGCCAAACGCTGGCCATTTGCAAAGGTGGTTTATTAAGCTGAGCAAGCTAAGAGTAACCACAGGAGTTTCCAAGGTTTATTTCAATGCTGGTTGCCTTGCTTTTGTTCACAATGCCCTATTGATACGAGCACTAAATATTGATTGGCCTTGAGAGGATGGGCTTCTCCTGCCTTCGCAAGAATTCCCAGAGAACCCGGGTGCTCCCCGTTGTTCTGCAAACAAAGCCAAAAGCGACATTTCAAGTGTGGAGCCTTAATTTGCTTGGGGGAGGGAGGCTTCAGAGCTTTCATTGGTTCCAGGCACTTCTGCGAGACAAGCTCTCCGCCAGCGATTGCGAGTGACCCGCTTTGCAAGGTGGTTGTGCGAGCGAAGCAGCTGCCGATTTCGAAACTGCAGTGTGTCACACGCAGAGGTGTGGGACATTCCTGGGCTTCCACTGTCATCCTTGACCATTGGCCATGTTGACTGAGGCTGATAGGAGTTGGATAACCTCTGCAGGGCAGTGCTAGAAAGTCACATGTGTATATATCTAGATATATCTTAAATCTGGGTTGTGGTCGCCGCAACCGTATGTCTAGGCGCCATTCTTTCCCCCCCCCCCCATGGAGTTTAGTTTATGTACTTAATTCATTCCAAAGGTCCGTTTTTAACCTGAAACTGTTCTCAACCTGAAGCACCACTTTAGCTAATGGGTTTCTTTACCTTTACCTAAACCACTTTGAGGGGTTTTTCTTTAAAATATAAAAGTATAGAAATGAAATTAACAACAGCAGCAACAACAGCAACAATACAGTGGTACCTTGGGTTACATACGCTTCAGGTTACAGACTCCGCTAACCCAGAAATAGTACCTCGGGTTAAGAACTTTGCTTCAGGATAAGAAAAAAAATCGTGCTCTGGCGGCGCGGCGGCAGCGGGAGGCCCCATTAGCTAAAGTGGTGCTTCAGGTTAAGAACAGTTCCAGGTTAAGAATGGACCTCCGGAACGAATTAAGTTCTTAACCCGAAGTACCACTGTACTGTATTTATCTACCTGCTTAATTTACAGAGCTGCCCCATAGATGAAGGACTCTGCCCCATATTGAGTCTGCAGCCGCCGCCCCCCCCCGATCCAGCTCATTTAAAGCCATGAACAGGCAGGGAGGGTGTCATTCTTAACGCTAGATTGTTCATTTTCCTATTCCCTTCTTGGCCTCTGAATGGACAGCGCCTGACGGCTAGGGCCAATCTGCTGAATGTGTACTTTTGTTTCCAAATTTCAGAATTTGATGAGTCGTCAGAATCTGAAGATTGAGGAGCTGTTTCATAAGATTAAGCAACAGCAGTACAGAATGGACAAACAGAACCTGCAGATCAAAAGTCTCCAGAGCAAGGTATGACCTACAGTTTGAAATTCTGGTTCAGAGACACACTTTGCACATGCCTAAAAGCACTTTCCTGCAGACTGAATTCATTTTTTGGGAGGGGAGGGTGGGGAAATATAAACCGCTCTTTATCTCCACAGATAATTCTGCTGGATTCCACAGCAGAATGTATGTATATTTTTAAATGAACATTATAGCATGTTGTTGTTGTTGTTTATTCGTTTAGTCGTGTCCGCCTCTTCGTGGCCCCCTGGACCAGAGCACGCCAGGCACTCCTGTCTTCCACTGCCTCCCGCAGTTTGGTCAGGCTCATGTTTGTAGCCGTCTCGTCCCCTGTTGTCCCCTTCTCCTTGCGCCCTCCATCTTTCCCAACATCAGGGTCTTTTCCAGGGAGTCTTCTCTTCTCATGAAGTGGCCAAAGTCTTGGAGCCTAAGCTTCAGGATCTGTCCTTCCAGTGAGCACTCAGAGCTGATTTCCTTCAGAATGGAGAGGTTTGATCTTCTTGCAGTCCCTGGGACTCTCAAGAGTCTCCTCCAGCACCAGAATTCAAAAGCATCCATTCTTTGGCGACCAGCCTTCTTAATGGTCCAGCTCTCACTTCCATACATCACTACTGGGAAAACCAGAGCTTTAACTATACGGACCTTTGTTGGCAAGGTGATGTCTCTGCTTTTTAAGATGCTGTCTAGGTTTGTCATTGCTTTTCTCCCAAGAAGCAGGCGTCTTTTAATTTCGTGGCTGCTGTCACCATCTGCAGTGATCATGGAGCCCAAGAAAGTAAAATCTCTCACTGCTATAATCTCTCATTATAGCATAAGGCATGATAAATTTAAGAGGAATAAAGTAATGCAACCAGCTAATCTAAAATCTAAAATATCTGGGCAAATAAGCAAAAGCTTTTCAAACTGGCAGTCCAGAAAAGTGCATTGTCAGGCATACCTGAGCGAGGCACTTTTCTAATGCTTAACAGTACTCTTTGCACATTTAAGTGCTGTGATAATGGCAGTATCAACTATGGGAAAAGTTTAGGATAAAAGGATGGTTCTTGATACCAACATAATTCAGACTAATCTGCTAAACTGCTTCTTCCCAGTTAGCCTAGGATCATCCATGTAGTGATTATAGATACTACTAATAATAATTTTATTATTTGTGCCCCAGCCACTCTGGGCAGCTTCCAACAAACAAAAAAGCACAATAAAGCACGAAACATTAAAAACTTCCCTATACAGGGTTGGCTTCAGATGTCCTCTAAAGGTTGTATAGTTACTTATCTCCTTGACATCTGATGGAAGGGTGTTCCACAGGGCGGGGGCCACTACTGAGAAGGCCCTCTGCCTGGTTCCTGCTTCTTGCAGTGAGGGAACTGCCAGAAGGCCCTCGGAGCTGGATGTCAGGGGTAAAGATGCTCCTTCAGGTATGCAGAGATGAGGCTGTTTAGGGCTTTCAAGGTCAGCACCAACACTTTGAATGGCACTTGGAAACATACTGGGAACCAATGTAGTTCTTTTAGGACTGGTGTTATATGGTCTCGGCAGCCGCTCCCAGTCCCCAGTCTGGCAGCCACATTCTGGATTAGTTGTAGTTTCTGGGTCACCTTCAAAGGTAGCCCCACGGAGAGCGCATTGCAGTAGTTCAAGCGGGAGATAACTAGAGCATGCACCACTCTGGTGAGACAGTCTGAGGGCAGGGACGGTCTCATCCTGCATACCAGATGGAGCTGGTAGACAGCCGCCCAGGACACAGAATTGACCTGCGCCTCCATGGACAGCGGTGAGTCCAAAATGACTCCCAGGCTGCGCAACTGGTCCTTCAGGGGCACAGTTACCCCATTCAGGACCAGGGAGGCCCCCACATCTGGTAGGTGGATTGCATAGGAAGCAATGTGTAGGTCTGTTCAAATTGGTCATGCTGGGCCACGCACAAAAAAGTGTCTAATGGGTGAGAGTATTTCTTAGTTGTTGCTCTTTCAATTGTGTTGCACAAGGCTCCTCTTAGGTTGGACGCAGTTCAAGAAAAACACGTGTGAGATGGTTTATTTATTTGGAGCATAGAGGATCTGTTCCTGTGTGATGGAAAAGCTCCGCCACGGGGTCCCCAAATCAGAAAAGCTTTCCTCCAGTAGTTTATGTCAGGCATAAATGTAAAGGGACCCCTGACCATTAGGTCCAGTCGTGGCCGACTCTGGGGTTGCGGCGCTCATCTCGCTTTATTGGCCAAGGGAGCTGGCGTACAGCTTCTGGGTCATGTGGCCAGCAGGACTAAGCCGCATATTCCTCCCAGGCTTACCCGTGCCTCAGTTTCCCTCCTCTTTCTCCACTGTCTCCCCTTAAAGGTAAAGGGACCCCTGACCATTAGGTCCAGTCGTGGCCGACTCTGGGGTTGCGGCGCTCATCTCGCTTTACTGGCCAAGGGAGCCGGCGTACAGCTTCCAGGTCATGTGGCCAGCAGGACTAAGCCACTTCTGGCGAACCAGAGCAGCGCATGGAAATGCCGTTTACCTTCCCACCAGAGCGGTACCTATTTATCTACTTGCACTTGGACGTGCTTTCGAACTGCTAGGTTGGCAGGAGCAGGGACCGAGCAACGGGAGCTCACCCCGTCATTGCGGGGATTCGAACCGCCGACCTTCTGATCGGCAAGCCCTAGGCTCTTTGGTTTAACCCACAGCGCCACCCGCTCTCAGGTATAGGCAAACTAAAACCTAAATCCAGCTCTCAACCTGAAGGAAAGAAAGTTCATTGCAACTGTGTTTCTGAAGCTGCAAGATCTATGCAAAGGGCCATGGGAATTGTAGAGGGAAAGTTTCCACCCTCCGTCCCCAACCACATGTCAAGGCGCGAGACAGGGCTCTTTTGAGCCTGCTTTTCTCAACACAGAATTGTCTTTCGTGTAGGGGCCGGGGGGGGGGAATCCCATACAAATTGGACCCTAAGCGTTCCGTCTTCCTTGCAAAAACAACTTACAAACCTGATCTGCAAGATGTTTTGTTCTTCGGCAGCTGCAAAACACAGCTTAGTTACGTAAGTGTTCCTGATGGTTTTCCAGGACAGCTGGCAAGTGCAAGTCTAGTCCTGGAGAGGCCAGACTCCATATTGGGGTAGCTGCGGGTTCGAATCCTGCTTCGGTCTCTTCCGCACAGGTCCAGCTGCCTCGGTGCAACCGGTTTAGAAAATGCTTCGATGTTTCTAGCACTGTCTGTAGTTTGCTCCCAGCATCCTTGATAAATGACAGCCCACAGGATTCTTGGTGGGTAGGCGCAGGGCCGGATTTAGGTTTGATGAGGCCCTAAGCTCCTGAAGGTAATGGGGCCCTTTGTCAACAACAAATTTGCTGTTTTTTTGTGTTGAATATATGCTAGATGGTCATTTATGGACCTAATAGGTATCTCAAGCCATTTGCCCATGTTGTCATGCAATCAGTCCATGCAGAATGTAGGCACCCTATATATAGAAATGAGCAAACCAGTGATATTTTAGGGAGCAGGCTAGCAGGCGGAGCCCATGACTTACATCCTAGGAGCCTACACAACACAAAACACTGTTGCTGTATGTAGGTTTTATCTTATTTGTTTTTTATCTTATGTATTGGAAATGTGCATGCAGTTTTTCCCCCTTTATATTTTTTGGGGGGCCCCAAGAGAGTGGGGCCCTAAGCTGTAGCTTGTTTAGCTTGTACGTAAATCTGGCACTGTGTCTGGCAGATAACTTGCCAGTCCCATCACCAAAAGCTCTCTTGATATAAGGACGCAGTTTCTACCTCCCTGCTTCTGCACTTTCTTTTCTTTTCTTTTCTTTTCTTTCTTTCTTTCTTTCTTTCTTTCTTTCTTTCTTTCTTTCTTATTCTTTATACTTTTCAAACTCATACATTTCATTAGTTTTACAATAAATTTAACATTTCCAAATTTTGGCGTCCTTCCCCCTCTTTCTGCAGTTCCTTAAATTTATTTTTTATACCTTCTGCATATCCACGTTCATTTAACTTTCTCATTTATTTATCTGCTCTAAATCTCTTGTAAAACTGCAGGTTATTACATTAATCCTGCTTATGTTCTTATCTGTTTACAATTGATCTGTAAATATTCAATGAACCCATTTCCATTCTTTTATAAAAAGTTTGTTATCTTCTTACTACTGGTAAGTTTCGCTGTTTCTGCATATTTCATAAGTTTTTGTATGCGTTCTTCCTTTGCTGGGACTTCTGGTTCTTTCTACTTTTGGGGCAAGTAACATTCTTGCCACTGTAGTAGCAAACATGAATAAATTTGTACACAATTTAGGTAGTTCTGTCCCCATAATTTCCCAAAAGAAAAGGCTTCTTCACTTTCCACTTGCGCCCTGGAAGGTAAATTATATTTCCCTCTCATTCTCTCTTTTCTCTCCTTCCGCCCTCTCCCAACCCACAGGTCAACATGCTGATTCCTTTGCACGTCCGAGAGAACGAAACGCAGGGTCCGAAATGGAAGGCGAGCGTCCAGCGAAGTGTGGACCGATCTGGAAACCACAGCCAAAGTCCCCAGCCAAAGTCCCCGGCGATGACCAGTGAGTCCCACACCTTGCCCCACACATAGCTGATGGCGGGGGGCGGGCAGAATCCCTTTACTTAAATATTTGCTTAGAAGCAGAATCTTTTGGAGGCAGAGGGGGCTGCTGCTGTCGCAGCTCGGTTCTACTGCTCCCGAGTAGACCCATTGAAAATCATTGAACGTGGGGAACTTCCTCATGCTAAGTCTCTCTAGCCCAGCGTTGTCTAAATCAGCATTTCCCAAACTTGGGTCTCCAGCTGTTATTGGGACTACAACTCCCATCATCCCCAGCTCGCAGGACCAGCGGTCAGGGATGATGGGAAATGTAGTCCGGAAACAGCTGGAGGGCCTTGTTTGGGAAACACTGGACGCTGATCAAGGTTACAAACGGGGGTCTTTCTGAGCCCTAGCTTCTCATCCGGCTAGCCAGAGCAGATTCTGCGGTGCTGAGCTAAGGGCTGGGGCCGGGTTCCTAGAGGGGAAATAATCTGCCTTCAAATCCAGTCATGCCAGCAAGATTGAGCTTCCATATCTGGAGGCAGTCTACCTTGGAAATACCAGCTGCCACGTGGCATGGAAGCTCAACCACTTTGGGAAGCAGGGCTCTGGGCTAGAGCCCAGGAGGGGTAGTTTTGTTCATTTTTAAGATGCAAACAGAAATTGGGACTTGTTGTCGACAGAGGGGTGGTGGTGGGGGAGCCTGGGGCAAGAGTTGGGCCTGGTTGTGATTAGCCCCTAGTTCAAGATGTGCCATAGCCCTGTTGTTGTTGTTGTTTAGTCGTTTAGTCGTGTCCGCCTCTTCGTGACCCCCTGGACCAGAGCATGCCAGGCACTCCTGTCTTCCACTGCCTCCTGCAGTTTGGTCAAACTCATGCTGGTAGCTTCAAGAACACTGTCCCACCATCTTGTCCTCTGTCGCCCCCTTCTCCTTGTGCCCTCCATCTTTCCCAACATCAGGGTCTTTTCCAGGGAGTCTTCTCTTCTCATGAGGTGGCCAAAGTCTTGGAGCCTCAGCTGCAGGATCTGTCCTTCCAGTGAGCACTCAGGGCTGATTTCCTTCAGAATGGAGAGGTTTGATCTTCTTGCAGTCCATGGGACTCTCAAGAGTCTCCTCCAGTACCAGAATTCAAAAGCATCAATTCTTTGGCGATCAGCCTTCTTTATGGTGCAGCCCTTACTTCCATACATCACTACTGGGAAAACCATAGCTTTTACTATACGGACCTTTGTTGGCAAGGTGATGTCTCTGCTTTTTAAGATGCTGTCTAGGTTTGTCATTGCTTTTCTCCCAAGAAGCAGGCGTCTTACCCCCCTTTAAAGCCATATCAACGAAAAGAAAAGAACTCACTCTGAAACTCACCTACAGGTGGTACCTAACACCAAGAAAACTAGTGCTAATATGCCCAGGAACCTCACCAAAATGCTGGAGAGGGTGCACCTCCACAGGCACATACCTCCACATGTGGTGGGAGTGCTCCAAAATCCAACTATTCTGGACAACAGCCACACGAGAAATATGTAAAATAACTAAACAAGTTTTAGACATCACCCCAGAATTGGCCCTACTAAATATCTTCCAAGACAACGATGCCCATTTACACCACAAAGAACTCATAACCCACCTACTTTCAGCAGCCAGAAACACCATAACCAGACACTGGAGAGACCTGTCAGGAGTAAGCGTGGTCCAATGGTACTAAATAGTATGAGAAACAGCCCTACTAGAAAAATTAACCAATAAACTGAAACTGACAAGGGGACAAACAGAAGAAGACGCCTTCACCCCCGTATGGCTCCCCTTTATCACATACACAGCCCAACAAGACAATGACAATAATCCACCAATAGCATACAAATCAATATGGCTAACCTGATCCAAAACACCCACCCACCTCACTCACGCACGAAAACAAAGATCACCACAGCCAATCACAAGTGAACAGCCACACCCTAGGCCAACCCCAACCTCTCTCACCACCAAAGAAACACAAATGAACAGCATGAGCAACCCTGATACCAAACCCTACATACATTAATCAAAATAGAAACATCGCCACCCGACCCCACCCCCACCCATCTTCCCTTCCTCCACCCCTTTTTTTTCTCTCCCCCTAATGTCTCAACAAATGAAACGGATTTGTAAAAACGTTACATGGGAAAAATACGAGAGACATTACACTTACTTCTGTAAAACAAGAAATCTTTAATAAAAAATAATAATAATAAAAAGAAAAGATGTGCCATAGCCCTGAACCAGACTGTAGCCCATTGTCTTGTCTCAGCAGCTGAGGAATCCGGCCATCTGGAGACGTGAATGTGTGGTGTCTTGCAAGTTAAAACATGGCCCTGCAGATCTGAAGGCAAAGCTCTTTAAAGATCCCACATCAGGCGCTTTTTTCCAACCAAGATGTAGAAACCTGCCTTATACCAAGTCAGAATATTGGTACTAAGCACAAGCAAGAGTGCTTTCATTCTCCGTGGCTGTGTGTGGACAATTACAGTAGTGCTTTTCTAAGTCGAACAAATCTCTGCAGCGCCTCTTCGCAAATACCGTATTTTTACGTGTATAAGACTAGGTTTCCCCCACTAAAAAATACAGTGGTGCCTCGCAAGACGAAAAGAATCCGTTCCGCGAGTCTCTTCGTCTTGCGGGTTTTTTCGTCTTGCGAAGCAAGCCCATTAGCGGTTTAGCGGATTAGCGCTACAGTATTAGCGGCTTAGCGATCAGCTGTTAAGCGGCTTAAAGATCAGCTGATAAGCGGCTTAACGATCAGCTGATAAGCGGCTTAGCGATCAGCTGTTAAGCGGCTTAGCCGATCAGCTGATAAGCGGTTTAGCGGCTTGGGAAAAAGGGGGGGGGAAAGGAAAAAAACCCCGCAGGAACTCGCAAGACATTTTCGTCTTGCGAAGCAAGCACATAGGAAATTTGTTCTGCGAAGCACCTCCAAAACGGAAAACCCTTTCGTCTAGCGGGTTTTCCGTCTTGCGAGGCATTCGTCTTGCGGGGCACCACTGTAATGTCAAAAATTAGCAGGTGTCTTATACATGGATACATCTTCCCCCCATTTTCTTAAATCTGAGTCCTCCAAAATAGGGGGCGTCTTGTACATGGGGGCGTCTTATAGATGGAAAAATACAGTACATCTTGTGCAGCAATTCTGAAGTGGCTTTTGGGTTCTGTGGAAATTGGATAACACACCACTGTAGCTTAATTAATACCAGCCTTGCGAAAACGTTGTGCTATACACATTACAGAAACTTGCTCCAAGCCGTCTCGGGGCGGTCACGGCGTAAAATCACAAGATAAAAACACAAAATACGTTATCCAAATAAAAACGAGAGTAACCCAATATCCTCACATTTTAAAAGGGTGTTGGGTGTCAATCAGCCTGGTTATAGAGGAACCTTTCTGAATGGTGCCTAATGGTGTATAATGAAGGCGCCAGGCAAACTTCCCTGGGGAGAGCTTTCCACAAACTGGGAGCCACTGCAGAAAAGGCCCTGTTCTTGCGTTGCCTCCCTCTGGACCATCTCACAGAGGGGGCACACGAAGGAGGGCCCCAGATGATGAACGCAGAGTCTGGGTAGGTTCATTTACCGTTGATGCAACATCTGTAAGGATACAGGCCTTTCCCATCCCCCTTTTTAAGCAGATGTTGGATGGCCATGTGTACTGGATGCTTTAGGTTGGTGGTTCAAGCCCACCCAGGGATAGCTGTAGGCAGGATTCCTGAATTGCAGGGGGTTGGAAGAGATAAATAATTTATTACGGTCGGAGACAGTCACAGAAGGAAAACAAACAGTTAAAACAACGTACAACAATACAGTGGTGCCTCGCAAGACGAAATTAATTCGTTCCGCGAGTTTTGTCGTCTTGCGATTTTTTTCGTCTTGCGAAGCACGCTGTCGGGAAAGTTTTGGAAAAGCTTCAAAAATCACCAAAGTCTTTAAAAACCTCAAAAAAGGCTACCACACCGCATTCTATGAGTTGCTCCTCGAAGTCAAGTCGCAACTGTATTAACGGTGTTAAGAAAAGGAAACCTACTTGCAAGACGTTTCCGTCTTGCCACGCAAGCCCATAGGGAAAATCGTCTTGCGAAGCAGCTCAAAAAACAAAAAACCCTTTCGTCTAGCGAGTTTTTTGTCTTGCGAGGCATTCGTCTTGCGAGGTACCACTGTAAATTTAAAATTTATAAATGCGATGAGCGAATAGACACTTAAAACTTGAAGATAAACTACCGCAGGGAGATGACCCAGAGTTACCCATGGAACTGAGTTTGGGGATTTTCTTAACAAACTAGTTTGAGTCGGGGAGGTGGTCTGCGCCTACACAGAATCTAGCGACCATCCGGGTCGTCTTCTGATCTTTGCCTAACAGGAAAAGGTCAAATTTTTGCTTTTCCGGGAGGTCAGTGAGCCTCACCTCAATGGTCTCGCTACGTGCCTCTTCATAAAAGGGACATCTAAAGAACAGGTGCTCTGGGCTTCCAATCTCCCCCAATGAAGAGGCGCAAAGTCTCTGAGCATATGGGACTTTTTTAAAAGGATCCTTCCAGGACCGGCGAGAGCAGAGCCCAGCTTCTGGCGAGTGTAAAAGCCCTTCTTGCATTTTTGGATACGAGAAAGAAGAGATATGCTGCCGGTGCGGCTATATCTCTCTCTATTTCTCCAATTTTATAGTCGGGGCAAGGGGGGTTGGAATGGATGACCTTCAGGGTCCCTTCCAGCGCTACAAGTCTATGACTCCATCCCTGATCTAAGAAGATGCAGCTCCCCTACTCTGAAGAAGGAATGCCTCTTCTCAATAGAACTGCCCCACTGTCTCTCGCATGCAGTGGGGAAATCAGGGACGGGGAGCTTGTGGCCACTGGGATATTACTGGGCTCCCAGTTCCCATCGGCCCCAAGCCGTTGGAGTCCCAGCCTTTCTCGACCTGTGGGTCCCCAGATGTTGTTGGACTACAACTCCCATCACCCCTAGCTCGCAAGGCCAGAGCTCAGGCATGATGGGAGTTGTAGTCCAACGACATCTGGGGACCCACAGGTTGAGAACCACTGCGTTGGACAACGGGGCTTTTGTAGCCCCGGACATTGGAGGTGCCAGCGGTTCCCTGTTCCGATGTGCCTCTCTCTGCTTCGACACGGCGCTCTACGTGGGTCGCGGCTGTGTTGGAGCCATCGCGACACCCGCTATGGGGAATTTGAGCTGGGAGATTCGAGCCGGCCTCGTTCGGCTCCCAACCAGGCCTGTCTCTCGCTCGCTCGCTCGCTCTGGCTCTCAGCCAAGTGTGCGAGAGGTGAAATCTTCGCAAGGCATTCCCAGGAGCGACGAGGTTAATTGAGGAAGAAAGAGAGACGGGGAGAGAGAGAGACCGGGGCAGGAAGTGGGGGGGGGGAGATAATACCGTGGCGCACACTTGGGCTGGCATCCCTCCAACTAGGGGAAAGGCAGCGCTCCCCCTGCGGTGCTGGGATTCCAAAATAATTTGGCTGCACCAGGGCGGTGGAAACCTCAGTGGCTGAGCAAGGCTGGGCTTGCCTCATTGCTGCTGGAGCAGTTCTGTGCTGCCACAGTCCAGTGTCCCCAGACTTAATCTCCCATTTCCATCTTCTGCTAGGAACAGAGGGAGCTGCCTTAGCCAGGGGTCCGAGCACTGGTCCATCCAGCTCAGAGGATCAGCCCCATAGTCAATTGTTACCAGAAACGTTAAGGGGCGCCCATTCCACAGAAAGCAAGTCCTTCACCCCTTCAAAATTAGGAAGCATTCCCTGAGAAAAACAGAGGACGCAGAACAATCCCCAGGCCACCTTGGCTCTCCCGAAAGACTCTAAATCAGGTGTCAGCAAACTTTTTCAACAGGGGGCCGGTCCACTGTCCCTCAGACCTTGTGGGGAGGGGCAGGACTATATTTTGAAGGAAAAAATCAACGAATTCCTATGCCCCACAAATAACCCAGATGCATTTTAAATAAAAGCACACATTCTACTCATGTAAAAACACGCTGATTCCTGGACCATCCGTGGGCTGGATTTAGAAGGCGATTGGGCCGGATCCGGCCCCCGGGCCTTAGTTTGCCTACCCATCCTCTAAATCGTTCCTCTACTGTAAAAGGGAATATCTTGGGGGTGGGGACGCCTTTCCCAATAGTGCTTATCACTTACAAATCCAGTGAAATGAGCATCTCTTGCCTATGAATAGGGGAGGTCTGGGACAATGGTTCTGGGAGCTAGGTATTTGCAATTTCAAAAGAAAGGCCTAATCTGGCCAAGGTGGGGGGAACAGCAAACATTATCAGGTATCTTGACAGAGAAGCCACACTCCCAAATTTCTGTTGTGGACCCGCCTCATTCTGCGACATTTGTGTGATAATTTTGGGTGGTCTTTGGTGGGGCAATTTCTACAGCCTTTAAAATTCCTCGCACGCTTTTGTTCTGGGTCCTTGCCTCCTTGCCAAGGCGAAGAGGAGCCCCGTCACAACAGAAAAATAAAGATCCGCTTTGCTTTCACTGAATCCTGCCCTCATCCGTTCTTCTCTGACCGATCACGGACTTAGGGGGACACCGAATCCCTTGATGGGGGATTTTGGCTGCAAAAGCCAACCCCAGATTTTCCGTGAGAACATAGGGCTGGGTTAGTTGTAGTTTCCGGGTCGCCTTCAAAGGGAGCCCCATGGAGAACGCATTGCAGTAGTCCAAGCGGGAGACAACCAGAGCATGCACCACTCTGGCCAGACAGTCCATGCTATTAAAAACTCTGACACTGAGCTACAAGGGCTTCAGCAGAGCGCATATGCCCCAGAGGGGGTCTCCCCACACCTTGGCATATCTTGCCTGGTGTGTCTTCCGTCTCAAAGATGCACCTGTTGAATTTTCCTCCGCGCTCCAGGGCGATTCTCCTGGGGGAGCACAGGAGAAAGGCTGCGATGGCAGCTGTTAGGCTGTCTGTTGGGGGCATTTGCAAGGAGCGGAAAGACCAGCTTATTACGGCCATGTGCGATGTTGTGTCCTGAGCTGGGGGGGAGGGAGGTGGGGGGAAATGGGTGAAAGTTGAGAGCCTTTCCTTGAGGGCTGCAGTCTTTTTCCGGCAGTTCCCAGGCTGAGATGCCCTTTCCCCTACTTAGCTCTCGCTCCCGCACCCCCTCTGCACATGCTGATCTAATATCTGCGGCTGCGAGAGAGATGGCTTTGTGTCAGAGGCTTTTTCCTGGAATGTGCTGCGGTCAGCCTGCAAAAAAAACCACGCCTGCCCGCTACCCAGAGAGCCTGTGACTCAACGCTAGCCGTGACTCACGGGAATGTGGTGGGACGCTCGGGAAATTGCTCCTTCGCATCTCGCCTCCGCTGGAAACGTGCAGCATCGCACGAGGCTTAGCCGTGCCGTCACCTTTCCACGCTTGGACTACTGCAGTGCGCTCTATGTGGGGCTCCCTCTGAGGGTGACCCAGAAACTACAATTAATCCAGAATGCGGCAGCTAGACTGGGGACTGGGAGCGGCTGCCGAGACCACATAACATCGGGCCTGAAAGACCCACATTGGCTCCCAGGACGTTTCCAAGCACAAATCAAAGTGTCTGTGCTGACCTTTAAAACCAGGCACCCCCAACCTGCGGCCCTCCAGATGTTTTGGCCTACAACTCCCATGATCCCTAGCTAACAGGACCAGTGGTCAGGGATGCTGGGAATTGTAGTCCAAAACATCTGGAGGACCAAATGTTGGGGGTGCTTGCCCTAAACCAAGGCCTGGGGGCCGGATCCGGCCCAATCGCCTTCTAAATCCAGCCCGTGGACGGTCTGGGAATTGGTGTGTTTTTATATGAGTAGAATGTGTGCTTTTATTTAAAATGCATCTCTGGGTTATTTGTGGGGCATAGAAATTCGTTCATTTCCCCCCCACCCAAATATAGTCCAGCCCCCCACAAGGTCTGAGGGACAGTGGACTGGCCCCCTGCTGAAAACGTTTGCTGACCCCTGATCTAACTCATGTTTGCAAGTTTGCACAAAGGAGACAACGTGAAAATACGCTGTTCTATGGGATGGAAGGGGAAAGGGGCTGTTCTGCAGCTTTCTGGACGTGTTTTTGCCATAATGTATTCCTCTGCATTTCCCCCACTTTCATATAAAAAACAACAACTGTAAAAGCGAAATGGCAAAGCTGCGGGCGTCTGGTTCGTTTCTTGAGAACTAGCGACGTGATTTTGTTCAGGGTGGGCTCCGCAAAGCCTCTGCCGCTGAATAGGGTGTCTTTTTCGAAGGCTTGCCCCTTCTCTCCTTCCTGCACCCCGTGATTCCACCCCACGGCCTTTCTCTGCAGGACGGAGAAGCCGTTTCCAATATCCTACGTGGTACGGCTAAGGTCTCCGCCTGACCGTCTGATGCAAGCATCTTGCCCGGCCGTGCATTAATGCGCGCCTCCCTCCCCGCTGAGAAACTGGGGGAAAGTTCATGTTTACTCGCAGGAACTCCCTCTCCAACCTGGGATCCCGCCCTCTTCCTGATCTCCTGCTGCTGGCATCTGTTTTGAGAATCCCAGCTAAATTTATCCAAGGCAGGAGAGGGTCCCAGGGGGAGCCTGCTGAGCCCAGAAGATGCAGCGCCTTTTGCCGGGACAGAGGCTTCCTTTGTCTTTGGGAGAGCGGGGAGGGACGTCCTCCCCCCCCCCCGCAGCTGTTTTTAGCCAGAGCAAAGTCCCCTCGCGCCCTGCCACATCTTTGCCCTTCGCCTCCTCGCTTGCCGGATGCCTCTCCCAACTGGACTTTTGACATGGGGCTGTCGAAACCCTGACTCGCTGGCAGATGGTACCCATTCCTGGGCAGAGTCCATCCACCTGCCAGGGGCTCAGCGCTCAGCGCTCTTCAGGGGTGGTGCAGAGAGAAGGAATCTTAGAATTTTAGAGTTGGAAGAGACCCCGAAGAATGGACGCGACGGGGACATGGGTGGCGCTGTGGGTTAAACCACAGAGCCTAGGGCTTGCCGATCAGAAGGTCGGCGGTTCGAATCCCCGCAACGGGGTGAGCTCCCGTTGCTCTGTCCCTGCTCCTGCCCACCTAGCAGTTCAAAAGCATGTCAAAGTGCAAGTAGATAAATAGGTACCGCTCCAGCGGGAAGGTAAATGGTGTTTCCGTGCGCTGCTCTGGTTTGCCAGAAGCGGCTTAGTCCTGCTGGCCACATGACCCAGAAGCTGAACGCCGGCTCCCTCGGCCAGTAAAGCGAGATGAGCGCCGCAACCCCAGAGTCGGCCACGACTGGACCTAATGGTCAGGGCTCCTTTTAAATAATCACGGCAGTAAGACCCGAGCCTTGTGACATGACATCATGGCCACGCCTGAGCATGTGCAGAGTGTTTCTATCCCCTTTACTATGTAGCTGCAAGCGTAGCACATCTGGGATCAGGAGTAACAGAATTCCAAGCTGCATGGGGAGTAGTTTCCGGCAGGCTTCAGCTGTGGCTTCTCTTGGGAGGGATAAGCTTTGGCAACACAGTTCCCCCTCCACGCTTTTGCCGCCTGCCAGCTGCTGTCCGCAACTTCGGCCCTGCAGTTGTTAATGTCAGGCTGACATTTGGCTGAGGGTAGCTTGGGCAAAGTCCGAGTGGCGTTCCGTGTTCACGTGGTGGCCGCATCCCGCAGGGTCCTGTTGCGGTTGCTGCCTGCTCTCGATTCCTCTTCCCTCCCCCTTTTTAAACATTGGATTCATCTTCAAGTTAATAGTCTACCAGTGGACCTTTTTGCCTGCAAGCATGGCGAACATCTGTGACCCTCCACACGGCCAGCAGTTAGGGCTTTATTTATTGAGGAGCTTCGCATTTTGCAATCTATAAAACACAGTAACGCAGGAATGCGAGAGACGGCAAAACCACATTATTGTTGTTGTTTAGTCGTTTAGTCGTGTCCGACTCTTCGTGACCCCCTGGACTAGAGCACACCAGGCACTCCTGTCTTACACTGCCTCCCGCAGTTTGGTCAAACTCATGCTGGTAGCTTCGAGAACACTGTCCCACCATCTCGTCCTCTGTTGTCCCCTTCTCATTGTGCCCTCCATCTTTCCCAACATCAGGGTCTTTTCCAGGGAGTCTTCTCTTCTCATGAGGTGGCCAAAGTCTTGGAGCCTCAGCTTCAGGATCTGTCCTTCCAGTGAGCACTCAGGGCTGATTTCCTTCAGAATGGAGAGGTTTGATCTTCTTGCAGTCCATGGGACTCTCAAGAGTCTCCTCCAGCACCAGAATTCAAAAGCATCCATTCTTCGGCGATCAGCCTTCTTTATGGTCCAGCTCTCATTTCCATACATCACTACCAGGAAAACCAGAGCTTTAACTATACGGACCTTTGTCGGCAAGGTGATGTCTCTGCTTTTTAAGATGCTGTCTAGGTTTGTCATTGCTTTTCTCCCAAGAAGCAGGCGTCTTTTAATTTCGTGACTGCTGTGACTATCTGCAGTGATCATGGAGCCCAAGAAAGTAAAATCTCTCACTGCCTCCATTTCTTCCCCTTCTATTTGCCAGGAGGTGATGGGACCAGTGGCCATGATCTTTGGGGGTTTTCCGAAAACCACATTATAGATAGTTTTAAAACAGAAATTCGGAAGAAGAAAAAAGAGGGTGCTGTTGGATTGAATAGGGCTTACCTCTGAGTAGGACACAGTAAAAATGTTGTGCAAGCTAATGATCTGAAACCATTGTTTTCAGTCCTGTAGTTTGACGTTGGCTTGTTATTTTGTTGCCTTTTAAGTCTGTATTTAGTTAACAAAAGCTGCAAGACCACCAAGCAGTGTATTGTGCAATGTTCCATAAATACAACTGTGCAAATCATCCTGAAAATTATTCTTGACTTTTATTAAATAATAGTATTGTGCATGGTGGGCTGTCTGCAGCTACATCAACTGTGGAGCAGAGCCACTGAAGTTGCTGGGAATAGTAATTAATTAATTCAATTGTAAACACACACACCCCATCTGACTGGGTTGGCTCAGCAAGTCGTGTCTGTTAATTTCAGCGTTGACTAATATTGGATAAAGCCCCTAGATTATTTTCAGTAAACACACAAACTTCCTCAAAATAACATGGTCAAAGCAGGAGGAAGAAAATAGCTGTGCAGTTAATTAATTAATAAAATAATAATAATATTTTATTATTTCTACCTCGCCTATCTGGCTGGGTTTCCCCAGCCGCTCTGGGCGGCTTCCAGCAAAATATAATAATTCATCAAATATTAAAAGCTTCCCTAAACAGGGCTGCCTTCAGATGTCTTCTAAAAGTCAGATAGTTGTTTATTTCCTTGACATCCACAGGGCGGGTGCCACCACCGAGAAGGTCCTCTGCCTGGTTCCCTGTAACCTCGCTTCTTGCAGTGAGGGAACCGCCAGAAGGCCCTCAGAGCTGTACCCTGGTGTCCGGGCTGGACAATGGGGGTGGAGATGCTCCTTCAGGGATACAGGGCCGAGGCCGTTTAAGGCTTTCAAGGTCAGCACCAACACTTTGAATTGTGCCCGGAAACGTACTGGGAGCCAATGTAGGTCTTTCAGGACCGGTGTTATGTGGTCTCGGTGTTAATAATCAGTATTCACGGCAAAACTTTAATAAGGCCGATCAAATCAATGCTTGTTCTAGGATGCTAAAATGGCTTTTGCTTCTTCAATCTGCAGAGTTCCCAGCAAGCTGCCACCAGCTGTTTCTGGAAGGGGAACAAACCAGCGGTGTTTTCCAGATCCAGCCCCCTGGCTCCCAGGTTTTTGAAGTCTTCTGTGACATGACTCCAGGTAAATATGCGAGGTTTATAGAAGCGGGAGAGAAATTTGATACAGTTTGCATTTAAGGTTTTCTTAACCTGGTTCTGGGATGCGGGTGGCGCTGTGGGTTAAACCACAGAGCCTAGGACTTGCCGATCAGAAGGTTGGTGGTTCGAATCCTCATGACGGGGTGAGCTCCCGTTGCTCGGTCCCTGCTCCTGCCAACCTAGCAGTTCGAAAGCACGTCAAAAGTGCAAGTAGATAAATAGGTACCACTCCGGCGGGAAGGTAAACGGCGTTTCCGTGCGCTGCTCTGGTTCGCCAGAAGCAACTTAGTCCTGCTGGCCACATGACCCGGAAGCTGTACGCCAGCTCCCTCGGCCTATAGAGCAAGATGAGCGAGCAACCCCAGAGTGGGTCATGACTGGACCTAGTGGTCAGGGGTCCCTTTACCTTTTTAACCTGGTTCTCACTTGACAAAACAGCCTGCGAACCGTAACACAGCCCTCTGAAAACCTGCCCTGTTCTGAGTTTTCTAATGCGATTCTCCAGCCAAGTATTGTGTCCAAAAATTAACGTGCTTCAGTAGATGTGTGCATGGGAATGCTTATGTGAGTGAAAATAACACACACACACACTGTGTCACATTAGGAAAATTGCCCTGCAAAAAAATATGCATTTATCAAGCAAAGTTGCGTACAAATGTCTGTACATGAGTAGGCAAACTAAGGCCCAGGGGCCGGATCCAGCCCAATCGCCTTCTAAATCCAGCCCGTGGACGGTCCGGGAATCGGCGTGTTTTTACATGAGTAGAATGTGTGCTTTGATTTAAAATGCATCTCTGGGTTATTTGTGGGGCCTGCCTGGTGTTTTTACACGAGTACACTGTGTGCTTTTATTTAGAATGCATCTCTGGGTTATTTGTGGGGCATAGGAATTCGTTCATTCCCCCCCCAAAAATATAGTCTGGCCCCCCACAAAGTCTGAGGGACAGTGGACCGGCCCCCTGCTGAAAACGTTTGCTGACCCCTGGCTGTATTGGGGGGAAATTGCACTCAGGTGCCAATGAATTTTCACAACTTAAAAAGAAAGAAAGAAAGAAATTGCAAAACTGAAGGAGCAAATTTCAGATTGGGAAAATGATAAACTTCACTCTGAAACTCACCTACAGGTGGTACCTAACACCAAGAAAACTAGCGCTAATACGCCCAGGAACCTCACCAAAATGCTGGAGAGGGTGCACCTCCACAGGCACATACCTCCACATGTGGTGGGAGTGCCCCAAAATCCAACTATTCTGGAAAATGAGAAACTGAAGTTGAGAAATCAAAATCCTGGGTTAGGTCAGTTGGTGGAATGTGAGACTCTTCGTCTCATGCTTGTGGTTTGAGTCGCACGTTGGATGAAAGATCCTGCATTGCAGAGAGTTCGACTTCCAACTCTACTATTTTATGATTCTGTGGCCCATTCCTGCCGGTTTGCTGGTCGGATGTCTTTGGGTTCAGATATCATCTGATCCTGGAGATCACGGATTGATCTGGAAGGGTAAAGGTAGAGGTTTGGTTGGGTTGCGAGGGCCGTGACTCCGTTTCCCTGCGTTTCTCAAACTGGGAGGCGAAACGTTTTTGCAGCTACAGTGGCTGTCTTTCTCCCCAGTCCTAGTTCACTGTGTGTGTGTGTGTGTGTGTGTGTTCAAGGTACTAAAACATGTTGCACACACAAAAATCATATGAAAAAGCTTACAGATCAAAGCAGCACACCAGTGGGTGTGGGTGTTTTGGTGGGGTGAGGGGGGCAGGGGGCAAAAGCCAGATGTCTGCAGACTGATTGAAATTTCCCCTCCTTTTTATTTTGCAGATGGTGGAGGTTGGACGGTGATTCAGAGGCGACTGGATGGTTCTGTTGATTTTGACCAGCTGTGGGAACCCTATAGAAATGGATTTGGGAATATGAGCGGTAGGTTTCTGCTGCTTGCTCCCCCCGCCCCTTTTATTATTTTTTAATTTTTAAAAATTGCTACCTGCTCATGTGTAGGATATAGGGACGCGGGTGGCGCTGTGGGCCTAGGACTTGCCGATTAGAAGGTACCTATTGATCTACTTGCACTTTGATGCGCTTCTGGCGAACCAGAGCAGCGCACAGAAACGCCGTTTACCTTCCCGCCGGAGCGGTACCTATTTATCTACTTGCACTTTGACGTGCTTTTGAACTGCTAGGTGGGTAGGAGCAGGGACCGAGCAATGGGAGCTCACCCCGTCACAGGGATTCAAACTATCGACCTTCTGATCGGCAAGTCCTAGGCTCTGTGGTTTAACCCACAGCCCACCCGTGTCCCAGATGGGTGGGTGGGGTATAAATATTATTATTATTATTATTATTAGTGTGAGACATGTTCCTCATGAGGAGGAAGGAAAATAGAGAAGAAGGGGTGGGTGAGAGAAACAGTAAAACTTTCATTCTTTACAGAGTATATGAGCCATGCTTTTTTGTCAGCTTTGAGTTGATAGGTCTCTCGTTAACTTTGACACATGTTATCACTGAGCGCCATAAGTGTCACACAACAGCCCTGTGAGGTAGGCTAGGCTGAAAAATTGGGGCCAGGGACTCTCATCCCTGAATGGTGCTGGGTCGCCCTTGTCTCAGATCCCGCCCTCTAATGGCTAATTTGCTTTTCTCTGAACCCATAATCTGAAGTGACATTGTATTTTTTTTTTAAATGATATTTATTAATGTTTCAAAGAATACAAAAATAAAAATACAAGAAAGTACAAAATACAGAAAAAAGAATAAGATTTTTAAAATATAACAAAAAGAAAAATAAAGAAAAATAAAGAAAAACATACAAGATAAAAACAGTTAAAAACAGATTAACTTTCCATAGTATAACTTCCTTAACCTTATTTCCCCGGACCTCCTCGTACCTCCCTTTTTTGTATTCCAGTTCAGTTTGTTAGTTCAGCAAATCCTTACCATTAAGCTTTTACCCATTTGTAAACCGTTTTTTCATAACTCTTAAAACATTACAGCTGGAAACCACTTAGTTTCTATCCAACATCCTTCTAAGATTCATTAATTTTACAATATTTCTGTAAATAGTCTTTAAATTTCTTCCAGTCTTCTTTCACCGACTCTTCTCCCTGGTCTCGGATTCTGCCAGTCATTTCTGCCAATTCCATGTAGTCTATCACCTTCATCTGCCATTCTTCTAGAGTGGGTAGATCTTGTGTCTTCCAATACTTTGCAATGAGTATTCTTGCTGCTGTTGTAGCATACATAAAAAAAGTTCTGTCCTACTTTGGCACCAATTGGCCGACAATGCCCAGAAGAAAGGCCTCTGGTTTCTTCAGAAAGGTATATTTAAATACCTTTTTTATTTCATTATAAATCATCTCCCAGAAAGCCTTAATCCTTGGGCACATCCACCAAAGGTGAAAGGATGTACCTTCAGTTTCTTTACATTTCCAACATTTATTATCGGGCAAATGATAGATTTTTGCAAGCTTGACTGGGGTCATGTACCACCTGTATATCATTTTCATAATATTCTCTCTTAAGGCACTGAAGTGACATTGTAAGCTCCTAGAGGTCGAGACCTGTCTCCTGTGTGGAGTCGTACCTTGGATCCCAAACACCCCGGAACTCGGACGTTTTGGCTCCTGAACGCCGCAAACCCGGAAGTGATTGTTCCGGTTTGTGAACGTTCTTTGGAACCCGAACGTCCGGCGCGGCTTCCGATTGGCTGCAGGAGCTTCCTGCAGCCAATAGGAAGCCGCGCCTTGTTTTCCAAACATTTTGGAAGTTGGACGGACTTCCGGAACGGATTCCGTTTGACTTTCAAGGTACGGCTATATCTTCTGCACATCAGGATTTCAGTGTTTGATTTAGGGAAGGGTTTCTACCAACACCTGACCAATGAGGAGTTTGTCAGCAAATGGCAGAAAACCATGGCTAGAAAAGCCATCTCTATTGGTCTGTCCCCCCCCCCCCCAACTGTATTACCTGGATTATGAAGGCGCCCTAAAGACGTTAAAGCAAAGATTATGGGATAATGCACACAGTGACTTGCAGTCTCAATCACATGCAGTCTGTAGTCCGCTGGCAGTAGGAGTACAATATGGGCATGTCTTTAAGTTAACACCTTACATTAAAAACCTGCCAGTACCAAATTATCAAAGCTTATTCACCAAAGCCAGACGAAACGTCTTTCCTTCTGCAGTATTGGATGGCAGGTTGAGAGGAGTTTCCTACCAGGACAGACTTTGCTCGTGTGCTCAAGACATCGATTGCATAAAACATATTTTGCTGCACTGTGCAAAACATGAGCAAGCCAGGGCTGAACTGATATTACCCTCGCTGGTACCTTTCACGGGAAAATCAGAGGCTCGCTATGTCAGGTTCCTATTGGAAGACCGGACAAACGCTAGAACATTAGCAGTGGTGAAGTTTTTATCTGTGGTTGCAAGAACCAATGATCCCTATATTCTGAACAAAATGCTTGTTTAACCTGGAGGTAGGCTGCATGAACTGTGTATTGCTTTGTAATGACTTGTTGGATCTCTGGACCGGAATGAAGATTGATTGATTGATTGATTGATTGATTGATTGATATCTTCTGCTGGTGGGCCCTGACAGGATATTTATTTTTTCCCCGTTTGTTTGTTTCTTTGGCCGTTCTCTTTCAGGCGACTTTTGGCTGGGCTTGGAAAAGGTTCACCAAATCACGAAAGACGGGCGGTTCCACCTTTCCATCGAACTTCAGGACTGGGAGGGCAGCTCGGAGAGGATCCAGTTCCTTTTCAGCCTGGGCGGAGAGGACACGGCTTACACGCTCAGCCTCCTGGGCCCTATTCTCGGGCAGCTGGAGAACGCCATGGGCGACTTCCCACAGCTGCCCTTTTCCACACGAGATCAGGACCATGACCTCAAGGGGGATGCCAACTGCGCCAAACACCTCTCAGGTCAGTCCTGATTTTTATTTTTATTTTTTTCCTTTTCTATAATCTTTATTCAATTTTCTTTTTAGCATTTTAAAACATCCATTTAAACCACCTTAAAACAGGCATAGGCAAACTCGGCCCTCCAGATGTTTTGGGACTATAACTCCCATTATCCTTTGCTAACAGGACCAGTGGTCAGGGATGATGGGAATTGTAGTCCCAAAACATCTGGAGGGCCGAGTTTGCCTATGCCTGCCTTAAAATATCAAAGACTTCCCTTCTTCTCTTTCCATAACCCTTTTTGACACCTGGGAATTTCCGTCTTCACTATCCCCAACTAAAAGGACTCTTGATTGTATCCTTTGTTTGATTTTATTTAAAGGTTTTATCTTTCTGTGGTTCATTTTGCATACCATACATCCCTGCATATTTAAAATGAACTAAACCATTCGGTTCAAATCCCCGCGACGGGGTGAGCTCCCGTTGCTCGGTCCCTGCTCCTGCCAACCTAGCAGTTCGAAAGCACGTCAAAGCGCAAGTAGATAAATAGGTACCGCTCTGGCGGGAAGGTAAACGGCGTTTCTGTGAGCTGCTCTGGTTTGCCAGAAGCAGCTTAGTCCTGCTGGCCACATGACCCGGAAGCTGTACGCCGGCTCCCTCGGCCAGTAAAGCAAGATGAGTGCCGCAACCCCAGAGTCGCCCACGACTGGACCTAATTCGAACTGCCGACCTTCTGATCAGCAAGTCCTAGGCTCTGAGGTTTAACCCACAGCGCCACCCGCAACATACATAAATAGTCCTTTTTGACACCTGGGAATTTCCCTCTTGAATTATCCCCAACAAAAAGGACTCTTGATTGTTTCCTTTATTTAATTTAATTTAAATATTTTCCAAAAAAATGTATACATACAGATTTAAATATACATGCAAATTTTGATTACCGTCATTCTATGCTTCTAATCAGATTCATGACATCGCACTCCGAGCACCAAATTCTTTTAGCCGCACAAACCTAAGCATAGCCGAAACAAAATAAAAAAATTCCTTCCAGTAGCACCTTAGAGACCAACTAAGTTTGTTATCGGTATGAGCTTTTTTGTGCATGCACACTTCTTCAGATACACCTGAGCATGTTTGCCATGGAAGCAAGCAAACCATGCTGTGTTCATTGGGACGTACTCCCTTGCCACAGTGCTGCTCAGAATTGGAGCTCAAGAACTGCCATTTTTGAAGCATTTTCCAAGTAATGAAATCCATTGTTCTGTGGAAAGGCCCTCGGCTGATGCCTGCCCTTTCTGTTTCTTTTTGCTCCAAAGGAGGCTGGTGGTTCAGCAGTTGTGGCCACGTGAACCTGAACGGAAAATACTTCCGCTCCATCCCACGCCAGAGGCACGAGAGAAAGCAAGGCATCTTTTGGAAGACATGGAGAGGGCGCTATTACCCTCTGAAGTCCACCACTATGAAGATCCGGCCTGCGGAGATGGGCCTGCCATCCTAAATGCCCGGGAGGTCGCAGGAGAGAGTTTGGGTGGCCCTCCGTATTCCTGCCTGCCGCCAAAATACAGCTGCAGCCCCTCGCTCCTGTCCGGGACGATTTGTGGGGTGTCTCTATCGGCTTCCAGTTGAAAGCCTTCCTTTTGCAAGACTTAGTGTTGGGGTGGGAGGGGGGGCAAAGCAACGACTGTCGTCTTCGCGTTGGGAAGAGCGGCACAGGGGACCGCTTGGGTGGGTGGGAAAGGAACCGGCATCAGGATTCATTTCATGGGCATGTTGGCCGTTGGCAAGAAAGGGCAGTTTAGCATCTTTGAGGCCTGGTGTTAGCTGTTGATGAAATCTTGGGTATCTGGTCTTCTTGAGTGCCATCGTGTGATAAAATTGGGGTTCTTGCTAGCTCCGGCAGAGATTTGTGCTGTCGTCCACGTGTCTTTATACCCACTTCCTTACGCCTCAAAATGAGGAAGGCCTTTGTCTCCCGTGGAATGTCCCAAACAGAAGGAGGGGCTTCTGGCAGTAGCCAGCAGGACACTCTGCTGCCGAGAATTTCCCACAATGCCCCCTGCGGTAGCATCTCTCTGGGGCATTCTGGGAAATTTAAACGGTTACCATGCCTGGCACTGCTCTCAGCAACAGGCTGGGTATTTTATTTTTTAAGTGGGGAGGACAAAGCAAGGATACACTCGCTGGTGATTGTCCAGATTGTGCGTACAAACAGCATATCCTTGGCTGATGAAATATGTAGTCATGATTGAGCCTTGGGGCGTCCTAAAATCGGACCGCCCTCCGCAGGCGTCCCTCGTGGCAGCTTGTGGTTGGGTCCGTCCTTCACTGCTTGGAACAGGGTTCAGAAGGATGGAGCCACTGCGAAGGGCATTGGGGGGACACTGGTTGGGGGAGAAAGGCAGGGCGGCACCTCCTCTCCCTCGCCCAAGGAGGAGGCGTTGCTCCTGTTGCAAAATCCGGTCCTCCCTTAAAGAGGGCACGTGTTGCGGTGAGACCTGGCAACCAAACCCTGTGTTGTGGGTGGGTATGATTGGATAGCCACAACACCCAATTGGTAGGTCCCTTGTTGCAGGGTTTTATCAGGCCAATGGGACGCAGGTTAAATGGATCAAGGGGACCTGTTTATGCCCATGCACGTGACCCAGAGCTTCCTCTTTTGGCGTGTGCATTCGGAACATCCGCCCACCTCTCCCTACTTTTAGGGCTTTGCGCTTGACCTTGCTATGCCGTCGTGTGTCGTCTGTCGTTGGGACAGGGACACGGCAGGAATTTTCCCCACTTGGCTGATTGGCTGGTGCCATTTGGGTTTCCCCTGCCGCGTAGCAAATCGTCACAACTTGTAAGGTTGCGGATAGGCTCTGGTTCAGGTGATAGGGATGGGAGAACACTCTCGCCATCCCTATGTGAAGGGTATTCCGTTAAAGGAAACCAGGGACTCGATGGTTTGGTCAACCCCTGAGAGGGGTTGTGCCCGTGCCTGAGTCCAGGGGGACATTTGGGTGGCGGAGTTAGCCCATTCCTGGCTTTCCACTTATCCAGGTGTTCACCCTTGGCTGACCTATGATAGAGCTCTGGGTCAGCGCTACCTGCATGGGAGGGAGATAGTCGAACCAGAGCCTATGCAACCACTCACTTACTGTAATCAATAAAGTTGTGGCCTAAATTCTACCAAAAACCAAACCAAAATTTGAGTCTTGTCTGAATTTATTTAAGGGGGAGGTTTAAAGGTCTGAACACACAACTGGACAAACTTCTGCCCAGCCAGCCTCCCCAGTTGCTGTCATGTCCAACCGCCCCTTCCCCATTCCTTCCTCGTCCGTTTTTTTTAAGTCATATTGACTCAAGTTTGCTCCAGTGTTTAGCTGCTTGTTCTTGTATATAATAGCAGTTGTGCTAGTCGGTGTGTTGGTTTTAAGAGTGCTTTTATCCTGGTCTCTCTTTTTTTATTATTGTGGTTTTAAAACGAAGCGTCGGTGAGTGATGTGGTTATAACTTATAAACGTTGCCTTGGAAGAGGCACCAGTAAGACGGGGGAGGGCGGGGGAGAGTTGATTTCTGCTCTTCATTTCTCTCTTTTTTTATACTTTAAATGTGTGACTCTTTGGTCAGTGAAGTGTCTTTTTAATAAAACCTGTGAACCGGTTGTGTTGTGGTTGCTTGCCACGCAAGGCTGTGGGTTTGCCCTGTGGGTGGTGATGGGGGGGGGACTCCCTCAGGAGGTGGTGGACTCTCCTTCCTTGGAGGTTTTGCCCAATTCTGGCTGCGACTTTGCTGCGACCAAATGTGGCGTTGAGCCCAAGTTCCCTGGCTCCGCTGCTGTCGAAGGAACCGCCGCGAGTGGACTCAGCGGATGGTCAGGCAAGGTGCTGCCTGGACTGCTAGTGGCGCAAGTGGCGCAACAAAAACCCGGGCCATCTCAAAGACCTCTGGCCCGCAGAGGCTGAGGAATAAGCCCCACTTATGCTCCTGTGACCTTTCCGTCAGCTCGTTTGCTTGGAGGAAGCAGGTGAACCGAGCGAGAGATGAGTCCCATGATTCAGAGGCTGGGGCTAATGGCAATAGAGTCACGAGTGAAGCCATGGTTCCAATGCCAACATGGTGGGCGATGGATGGAACACAGTGCTCTAGCCAGTGTTAACGGAAAAATCCGAGGGCTCCCTTGGACAAAAACAAAGACACCAACCAGGATTACTTGGAGCAAACCAGCAGCCTATAGGTTTGGCCTTTATTGATCTGTTGCAACAGGGTGCTCCCCTCACTTGCAGGAGAGAGGAGGGACCCAGAAAAATGGTGTGCAAGGTCTTATAAAGACTTTTGAAATTGCCACCCTGTAGATCAAGACCACCCCTAGAAACATCATACATACATCACAGAAGGGGTGTAACCTAAGACCACCCCTCAGATACATCACACCTACATCACAGAAAAGGCGGTCTAAAACAGAAATTTGAATGTTGTTTTCTCCTGTTGTTGTTCATCTCCTGTCTGGCAGGTTACTTGACTGGATTGCCTGAGGAGCCTGGCCATTCTTTTGTAGTGATAAATACTTATTTCCTAGGCCAGGTCACAGGCTCACACCCTATTCAAACACAGACATACCCTTAAGACGCGATTTGTGAAGGAAAAGACAGTGGGGAGGCTTTTCCAGTTTGACCTTGCAGAGAAAACATTTGCTCAGTTTAGGAATCAAAATGGCTTCAGGTCGGTCTTCCAGTACTGATTTACGTACGTGCGGTTATGAACATTACCATATATCTAAGACCTCAAAATTCCTATCACACCAGAATGGTCAACTCTGAATTGGGCTCTGTTCAGTGATTTCGCTCAGTGTTTCAGCTCAGTGAGTGTCCGAATCTGGCTTTGCTCTGATGTCCATCCGATCCCATCCTCGTCACCAGTATTAAGTAGTGGGTTGACAAAGCAGACGACACAGAGATTTCTCCAAGTGGTTCTTCATAGTAAGCTGGAACTGAACTGAACTAGGAGTCTTGGTTAACCACAAACTTGACATGAGCCAACAGTGTGACGCGGCAGCTAAAAAAGCCAATGCAATTCTGGGCTGCATCAATAGGAGTATAGCATCTAGATCAAGGGAAGTAATAGTGCCACTGTATTCTGCTCTGGTCAGACCTCACCTGGAGTACTGTGTCCAGTTCTGGGCACCACAGTTCAAGAAGGACACTGACAAACTGGAACGTGTCCAGAGGAGGGCAACCAAAATGGTCAAAGGCCTGGAAACGATGCCTTATGAGGAACGGCTAAGGGAACTGGGCATGTTTAGCCTGGAGAAGAGGAGGTTAAGGGGTGATATGATAGCCATGTTCAAATATATAAAAGGATGTCACATAGATGAGGGAGAAAGGTTGTTTTCTGCTGCTCCAGAGAAGCGGACACGGAGCAATGGATCCAAACTACAAGAAAGAAGATTCCACCTAAACATTAGGAAGAACTTCCTGACAGTAAGAGCTGTTTGACAGTGGAATTTGCTGCCAAGGAGTGTGGTGGAGTCTCCTTCTTTGGAGGTCTTTAAGCAGAGGCTTGACAACCATATGTCAGGAGTGCTCTGATGGTGTTTCCTGCTTGGCAGGGGGTTGGACTCGATGGCCCTTGTGGTCTCTTCCAACTCTGATTCTATGAACTGAAAGCTCAGCCGGCCTGCTTTTATAGGCAGCTGGCTGTCAACATTGTAACACCACCACCCCAGGGTTTCCTGCCTAAATTAACTGACCTGAGTGAAAACTATATACACAATACCCCTGGTGGCCAGGGTGAGAACTTCAGTACATAACACATCTGACCTGGATGCTTTAGTTACGATTCCTGCCTTGCAGCGGGTTGGACTGGATGAACCCAGGTGCCCCTTCCAACTCTTCTAGGATTCTGTGAAACTAAAAAAACTCTTTACTTTAGCTCGGATCTGTATAATCAGTTTAAGTGACACGCACACCAAAATTCCATTAAGTTGGGGGTGGGAATGGGGAGTCCAGAAACCGTTTTAAAAACAACAGCTAAAAATGGCACGTCTAGAAGTTATTTTTGGATTCAAGGCGGCGGTGGGAAAGCTCCCCAGTTGCACTTTCAACAGAGTTTGTTTGCTAGGGAGGAATACAAAACACGAAGCTGATAAAAAGCAGATAAAGACCCTTTTGAGTAGCTGGGAAATGTCATCCTGGCCTCCTCTCATCTCTCAAAGTCTGCATTGGAATCTCCTCAAAGGAGATTGGGTTTTATGTCTTAGGAGGAAATCACTGGACTTTTCCACGATTGGGGCTGCGGGCTGCGAAGCCAACCACTGTTGGCCATTGACCTACGGAGGTAATTTATAGAGTCCTTAAGTGGGTTCCCTGTCAGTAGGAGAAAATAACACGCCAACCAGAGAATATTGAGAAGCAAAGCAGCTAGTAAGCCTGATCTTTAGTCAAGGAACTGTTGCAACAGCGTCCCCACTCCCCACACGCAGGAGGAACTCAGAACAATGGTGCGCAAGCCCTTATAATACAGTGGTACCTCGAGTTACATATGCTTCAGGTTACATACGCTTCAGGTTACAGACTCCGCTAACCCAGAAATAGTACCTCAAGTTAAGAACTTTGCTTCAGGATGAGAACAGAAATCGTGCGGCGGCAGCGGGAGGCCCCATTAGCTAAAGTGGTGCTTCAGGTTAAGAACAGTTTCAGGTTAAGAACGGACCTCAAGAACGAAATAAGTACTTAACCTGAGGTACCACTGTAAAGGTAAAGGGACCCCTGACCATTAGGTCCAGTCGTGGACAACTCTGGGGTTGCGGCGCTTTATTGGCCGAGGGAGCTGGCGTACAGCTTCTGGGTCATGTGGCCAGCAGGACTAAGCCGCTTCTGGCAAACCAGAGCAGCGCACGGAAACGCCGTTTACCTTCCCGCTGGAGCAGTACCTATTTATCTACTTGCACTTTGACGTGCTTTCGAACTGCTAGGTTGGCAGGAGCAGGGACCGAGCAACGGGAGCTCACCCCGTCGCGGGGATTCAAACCGCCGACCTTCTGATCGGCAAGCCCTAGGCTCTGTGGTTTAACCCACAACGCCATCCATGTCCCCAAGCCCTTATAACAGACACTTGAAATTGCCCACATTGTAGCCCAAGACCACCACCCCAAAGCATCATACATACATCACAGGAGGCAGTCTACAGCACAAATCCTACCTGCCAGGTTGCCTGCTAATGGTCACTGGGCAGCCTGGCCATTCTTTTGTGATGGCTAATACTTTATTTCCTGAATCCAGGTCATAGGCTCACCCTGTCCATCCAAAAATATGCCCTTAAGACAGGATTTGCAAGCCAAAAGACAATGGGGAGGCTTTCCCCCTTTGCCTCCCTGACTGCAGAGGGATATCTGAGGTCATTGGGAGAGAGAAACCGCCTTCTTGATCCACTCTTGGTCTCGTCCACTCCATCCATCAAGCCTGTCTCCGCATGCAGGAGAAGCCCCTAACTCACGGAGGGTTTGAGACCCATCGGCTCCCCTCATCTAGTTTAGCCAGCCAGGTGAAGCCATTTCCTGGGTGTTTTGCCCCTGTCACGCGCTAGCAACTTCTAGGAGGCGCAGGTGAGAGCTGGGTGCAGAATGGGGGACAAAAGAAGGGCAAACTACCCCGGAAAGAGAACGTGTCCCCCTCCCTTAACAAATAATGAATAAATAAGCCTACTGCCCGTGAACTGGACACTCTTATGGTCATGGAAGAAGCCCACAACCCCTGTTTATGGCACAACACAGTTAACTCCTTAGAGCAGGGGTCAGCAACCTTTTTCAGCCGTGGGCCGGTCCACCGTCCCACAGACCATGTGGTAAAAGTAAAGGGACCCCTGACCATTAGGTCCATTCGTGACCGACTCTGGGGTTGCGGTGCTCATCTTGCTTTATTGGCCGAGGGAGCCGGCGTCCAGCTTCCGGGTCATGTGGCCAGCAGGACTAAGCCGCTTCTGGTGAACCAGAGCAGCGCACGGAAACGCCGTTTACCTTCCCGCCGGAGCGGTACCTATTTATCTACTTGCACTTGGACGTGCTTTTGAACTGCTAGGTGGGTAGGAGCAGGGACCCAGCAATGGGAGCTCACCCCGTCGCGGGGATTCGAACCGCCGACCTTCTGATTGGCAAGTCCTAGGCGGGCCGGACTATCTTTTGAAAAAAGAAGAACGAATTGTTTTTTGTTTTTTTTTAAAGAATTGCTAAAGGAACTCTGCTATACAATATCTGGAAACTGTCAATTAAAAGATGTTAGAGCTCCTCCTGGTGGCATTGAGAAAGGACATCTCTGTTGAGGGTATCCATTTTGCAAAATACTGTTGATGTTCGGCTTTAAGCCCAAAGGGACTGCAGCCATATACAGTGGTATCTTGGTTCTCAGACTTAATCCGTTCTGGCCGTCCGTTCCAAAACCAAGGCGTGCTTTCCCATAGAAAGTAATTCAAAATGGATTAATCCGTACACGACTTTGAAAAACAACCCCTAAAAGAGCAATTTGACATGAATTTTACTATCTAACGAGGCCATTGATCCATAAAATGAAAGCAATAAACAATGTACTGCAGCCACACAATCAATCAATCAATCAATCAATCAGTAGTTGAACTGGTTTCCGCGCAGTCACAAAAACAAAAGGAAAAGCCG